ATAATAATTAATTCGTTTACACGAATTAATTATCCAACGAGTCGAGGATAAACTAGTAAAGGAATACGACAAGCGCACCGTTCCACGTCAGAGCCAAGACCTAACAGCGGCCGCTCCGTCCGTTTTATACAAGCAAAACGGGCGCCATCGCAGGTGCAATAGTACAGGTGTTCAGAGCACGTGTTAGAAGAATTCTGTCTAGTTACACCGACGTCGCCGCACGTGCAATGATGCACGTGCCGTCACGGCCACACTGACATGCGTGCGTCCTCGAACGCGCTCCATCACAATTTTAGTTATCTGTAACAACTGTAATCTGTTAAACATCGTTCGATTATCCTGACAAAACAGCGTCTGGTCCGTATACTGACCCTTCAGACTTGGTTGATAATCAGTTTTGTTCCGGCAGTAAGCACTACAAAACTTTTATCATCTTTATGCTAGATCGGAAGGAAGTCGGTAGCTTTTCTATTTTCTCTTTTTTTTTTCAAGTACTGTTTTCGCTAGTCCGGAATCACTATTCCCTATAGCTATATCACTGGACCGGCACAAAGCCCTGCAATGATTGTAAGAACTATTCTTTTTTCTTAATCTCTTTTTTTTTTCAGTACTATTTATGCTAGTCCGGAATCACTATTCCCTGTAGCTTTATCATTGGACCGGCAAACGCCCTGCAATGATAGTAAGAACCACATTTTTTTTTCTTACTCTCTTTTTTTTCAATTCAGTATAGAACAGTTACAGACCAACCATACCGCAAACATGTCCCCGTCACAATCACACAAAAGTGTATCGTGAGGGACGTAGTGACACGATAACACCTAAGTATGTAAACCAACAGCAACACGACACATATCCCAGTGCAGCACAGACCAGCCTTCCTGCAACTTCATGTTCCTTTCCTGCACTAGAATAATTACTTCGCTAGAGTGTTGCAACGTCCCTAGTATTTTCTAGATGCACAGACACGGCTACCTCTGACTGTCGCACGTCCTCGTGCGGTTGACAGTGAACAGCATAAGGTCTATCAGTTATCACCACCTGCTAACAGATATTAACTCTTGTTAAATATTACAACGGTCGACCATCCCAGACTTCATTTAAGTCTGGAAAGCGCCGATATGGCTACCTCCAGGCAAACGCACTACAGCTTTTCGTTCTGCTGCGTTCGTGCCACATTCGCGCCAGCAAGCTGTCGCGCCGTACTAGCGCTAGCGAATCGTCGCACTGCTTTGCAAAATTAAAAGAAATCGAGATAAATGTATTGCAAACCATGGAATTCCGAGCTTCCAAAATTCATCACATATTCTCTTAAGAAACGGCAACTGTATGACATTTGAAAACATTGCAAAAAAAAAATGGAAACTATGTGTAGAGACAGATTACCACAACATATTTCGAAGCGAAGGAGGCAACTACGCAAAATCTACGAAAGCCGTCCATTTACAGCGCCAAAGCACCATTTGTTCGGCGGCCGCTTGAATTGCACGTGCCGTAAGATCATTCGATAAGTAACAGACTGTAGCGGTGTAGGCTCAATCTAACCAGCGCTCGGCCGTACCTGACCATGTTCGATTAGCCATCACAACGTCTTCCTCATTGATCATTGTTGTAGAGAACTTCTACGAATTCCTCGACATCAAACCCCAACCTTGTCAACGACACAATATTCGGAGCAAACTGCAACACTGATCAACACATTAGAACACAAAAATGTCACTTATTATTTCCAATTCATAGCATAGGGTTGTACTACAATAAAGGATTAACTTTAAAATCCTTTATTGTAGTACAACCCTTAAACGTTTTGAACTTCAAAATATAGCAAATGATAATCATGTTTCGCGTGAACTATCAAATTACAACAATACTTGAACAAGTTAATTAGAAAGCCTCCAATATTTCTTTTGACATTTGTTAACATATTTAGGTACGTCAAGAAATAATGAAAATACTTGCGGGTACTTTTAATACAAATCGAACAAATTAAAAATATTTTGCTTAAATAATTTCACTTTATCTTTTCTTTACACTTTAATGATACGATAATATCGTAAGTAGGACAGCAAATTTCATTACGGTATTTAACATAAAAACAGAATTATCAATGCAGAATGCATTATAGTCTTTCATAGTGTGGTAAATGTAGTGCATCATTGCGATACCTACATGTACGCCGATGACATGTGCCTATTGTATGCTTCCAAAAACTCACATGAAGCTTGTGATAAAATACAGGAAGACTTTGATCGGATTATCCAATGGACACATGATAACGGCATAATACTGAATTTGAAAAAAACAAAGTGTATGCATATACATTCGACATACAACAGGCTAGCTAAGAATGTACGCTATGAAGAAATAGGTATTGTAGGGCATGACTTGCTAGTGCTTGCATAGGAGAAAATTACCATGTCAATGTGCCAAAATAGAGTTTGTTAATAGTTACAAATATTTAGGATTGATGGTAGATAGCAGTTTTAATTGGAAATTACACATTGAAGAAGTATGTTCAAAATTAAGGTCCATTTTAGGTAAATTCTATCAAATTCGAAAAGTAGTGAGTAAACATGTTCTATTAGTGGTTTACTATGCATTAGTTGAGTCTTTAATTAATTATGGTCGTATTGTTTATGGCCGCACATTTAGTACCTATATAAAACAAGTGAAAAGCCTACAAATACGTATTATAAATTTTTTTATTAATTCAAAAGATAAAAAGAGTTGTAAAAAACAATATGAAAAATTATTTCCCATGTGTAAAATACTCCGTGTTGATACACGGCTAAAATATTTAATAGCAATTGAACATTACTATACTGACGACTATAAAGTACCAATTATTAACACTTACAACACGCGTAAGGTAAGGGAAAAAAAACTTGCAAAGAGCCTAGTGCAAATAACTATTACGGACAACGCTTGAATAAATACATTGTACCCAGAATCTTTAACAAAATAAAATGGTTAAGAGAAACGCCTCCAAATAAAAATAAAAATAAATTAAGCAAAAACTTATTAAAATCCTCTCTGAAAAGGACATTATTAACAGAGCTATTATAACACATTACATATTGTTGCATACTTTATTAATCGCTTTTTATATTTAATTGATTTGTTTATTGTTTGTGTTGTATTTTTTTTTCATTATTATTTTTTTTTTTTAGTTTTATAATTTCTAAATATTATGAAATTGTAGTAGGTAAATTTGATATAACTATCTTTTATTTTCTTTTGTTTATTATAATTAATTGTATTTGTATAGGTGATAGTGCATAATAATATATAGTTTTAAGAGCGTGTACTCGCCGACAAACTGATTGCAGTTTGGCGAGAGAATAGTAAAAATAATGTACTTACCTTTGTATGAATAAATAAATAAATAAATAAATAAAAAACAAACGTAATAATCCTCATACTATTCGAAGATTGTATGTGGGCAAAAATGGGGACTTTATCCCACTTCTGATGTAGGAAGTATAATGGGTATAGTAGAGAGACTGATTTTGTAGTTAGGAATAATAATTAATTCGTTTACACGAATTAATTATCCAACGAGTCGAAGATAAACTAGTAGAGGAATACGACAAGCGCACCGTTCCACGTCAGAGCCAAGACTACCCTATATAGTATATTATCTATGGCCAAGACTGTCCTAACAGCGGCCGCCCCGTCCGTTTTATACAAGCAAAACGGGCGCCATCGCAGGTGCAATAGTACAGGTGTTCAGAGCACGTGTTATTTACAAGAATTCTGTCTAGTTACACCGACGTCGCCGCACGTGCAATGATGCACGTGCCGTCATAAATATATTAATGCAGACGTACACATACATAAATCTACTTAAATACATTAAATATAATATACATTATAGGGTACGTGAGGGTAATATAGTCATTCGGTCAATAAGGTCACTTTCTTATAACTCAAAAACTACAACCTAATTTGCATATATGGCTTTGTGATACGATAGCTCGTCATCAGTCATTCAAATAATAAAGGGTCAAAAGTTCGCCGCTTTATCGACGCCATTTTGACAGTTGATATTATAGTAAGTACGTGAAGGTAATAAGGTCACCTTAAGCTTTATCGCCCTATAAAACCAAAATTAGGAGGAGAACAGAGACAAAATCACAAAGTCGTATACTATAACTAATATATTAAGAAAAAAATAGCAAACAAGCTTTGCCAATAATTAGGAACACTTCGAAAAATCTACTTAAAAAAACTAACTACACAACACAATACTAAAATCGACTAAAATATTTACAATAATATCAACTGTCAAAATAGCGACGATAAAGGAGCGCCTTTTTGACCCTTTATTATTTGATAGACTGATCAAGAGCAATCGTATCACAGAGCGTTCTATGCAAACGACGCTGTAGTTTTTGAGTTATAAGAAAGTGACCATATTAACCGGATGACCATATTACCCTCACGTAATATAGTTAGTTTTTTTTAACTTGATTTTTCGAAGTGTTGCTAATTATTGCCATGGCTTGTTTGTTATTTTTTTCTATATTAGTGTATTTGTCTCTGTCCTCCTCCTAATTTTGGTTTTATAAGGCGGCAAAGCTTAAGGTGACCATATTACCCTCACGTACCTTATAAACTAGTAGCTGGTCCCGAACGAATTGCCAAATTACCAGTTTACTATCCTAGGAGTGTTCATTATGAAACATTACTTGTTTACATGTCTAATGAATCTTATCTCTTATCACAAGTGCCAAATTATATTTTCATCTAAAATAGGCATCTAATTTAATATAATACTTTTATTCGTATTGCACAACTGATTACTGTGTAACACATGACCCTAAATTAAACTAAAAACAAACTTTTATGAAATTAACTCTCAACCAGGGAATCGAGCCCCGAACTTTCGTTCGACCTTACCTATATTGAATTTTTTTTTGGCGTTTATGGCCTGGTATCTAGACCTTTAGGCCAAAATTATATTGAATATATTTACTTTTAACATAGATTATCTCTCTATTCGAAGTGCCTTATACAATTTAATAGCAATTCCTTCAAATGTAAAATTGTTTATTTTTTCTAAGGAATGAAAATGATAAACTTTTTTTGAAGCGCGTCACCAACAATCGCCTTTAACTTTAACTGAGTAGTAGGCAACATCGGGTCCGCGCCCTCCGCTCCGCAGTAGTAATCTGTGATCGGGAGTTCCCGAATAAATGTTTATATTTTTTACGTACCGAATTAATAATAATATTATATTATCAATAGTAATATGATATTATGATAGGCCAAAACTACTATTATATTTAGACACATTTCGAAACCGATTTTTTTTTTTCACAAAACCGGCCACTTTTTTATTTTGAGTAGCCACAAACTTGATTGTCCTAACGGCAACACTGAAGTCTACAACCTAGAAATGTAATAGAGTTTACACGTCAAGACAATCACTGCCATTACATGTGGCTCTGCGTTATTACGTCTAAAATAATGTCTTTGAAATAATGAGATTTTTAAGGATGGTATAAGAGAAGGGCACACTGTCCAACATAGTTCACTAGATATCTACATCTATCCAATAAGAATCAAGATGCGTTGTCACCCGTGAGGACTAAGATGGAATGGCTCGTTTCCAGTAAAAAGGGTCTCCGATTCTCGACACTCACCATACGAAACACAAATGCGTTAAGCTGCTATTTTACGCTGGAGAGCGTGGTCCTTCCCCAGTCGAGCTGACCCATTAGTGCTACAACTATACCACTAATATAGCTGCAGCATGGCTCTACCACGTAAGAAGTATGGCAATATCCCCCTATGAATCAATCTTTGGGACAGGCCTTTGTTCTACAGTAGACTTTTATAGGTTGTGATAGATGGTTGAATGGATAGACAAACAATATCGATGAATACGTTTTACAACATTCATCACTCATCAACATCACCATCATACATGTACATTGCCTTTGTAACGTCCTGGGTAATTCTTGAAGAAATCCCGGGACATAATATATCCTAAGTACTCTACAACTTTTCGGTAACGCCTTATTAAAAAAAAAACAGAGGCAGCCATAAGGACTGCCGACAGAAATGAAAATTCAATGATACATACATTCAATGATACCTGTGTGCGTAAACACGCACACAGGTCACACTATAAATCGCGTCGCTAGTTTAGCGATGCGTAGGAGACATGTCGAAGACATTGGTGACGAAAACGAAAAACCCTACGAAAAATCGCTCCATGAGGCTAAAGAAGCAAGCGCAATGCGTCACGAGCATGTCGAAGTCATCGGTGACGCGAACCCATAAGATATTCCACTACCAAATATTGCTCCACGCGGATAAAGAAGTAAGCGCAATACGTTACGAGCATGTCGAGGTCATCGGTGACGCGAACCCATAAGATTTTCCCCTATCAATAATCGCTATGTGCTGTGATGAGGGCAAAAACTTAGTAGTTCAGACGTGTAATTTTTGCACAGATTGAGATGGTCTTCCCTTTTATTTGTGAAAGCAAACAATTACACAATGTGTATTACATACAATATATAATAACTTCGTTTAAGCATTCGTTTCTATTTAATCTCAAAATTTTTCGGATAAAATATAGCCTAGCACACTAATGCAGACAGACAGACAAATATTTTGCAAATGGTTATACTTAATTGTTATTTCGATATTGCAGACAGACACTACAATTTCTATGTATAGATAATACCGTTTTTCTGTTTCATTTCAGCTTCAATCCTCGGCCTGGCTTTGATTGCTGGTATCATAGTAGCGCCCTTCAGCCTCCAGAATCTAGGACGAAGACTGACCAACCAACTGAGCACGCTTCCAGCACTGGGCGGCTGGGCGGTGTTGGTCGCCGCCAGAGGGCCCGCTGCTCTTCTCATCAGCCGAACTTTGCAGGTAATTCACTCTATTCTTTATTCTTGATTAAGTTCTTAATATCTCTTTTTGGATATAGGTCTAATTAAGGAATGGCCTTGACAGTCACGCTCGATGAAGATCCCGGTACCAGACGTAGTGATTTCCGCGGTGGAGCCAAGCTGCAGCTACATAATGAATGTAGCACGAATGGGTCGGCTAGACCGGGAAAGAACCACGCTCTAAATATCAGCGTAAAACGCCAGCTTAATGAATACCATTTTACCGGGAAAGAGGCGACCTCAGGAACGACAATGCATCTGCATTTTGATTCTTAATCAAGAATAAATGTCATTAAACTATTAAAAAAACAGTTCTCTTTTTTTATTATATAATCATTAAATATCTACCATTTAAAATACCGCCTTTCATTTCAATGTCATAATTGTATTGAAACAATTGAGAACAATTCTGTTAATTGTTTGCTCAAACAAAGCGATGCCCTCGATTATTAACTTGAGCATGCATTAAAACAGGCAATAAGACAGGATTGGGAAATAAATTGGATGGGGACGATTTCTATATCGTACACAATTTGCGTGAAATGTCAAAATATTACTTATAACAATAGTTAAAAATTAAAAATTTTGTACAACCGACTTCCATATTAATTATTGAGAATAACTCAAAAACTATTGGTCAGACCTTGATCAAATTTATATGGGACCACATGTGAAGCACCAACATTCAAATAAAAAAAGAATCATCGAAATCGGTTCACCCAGTAAAAAGATATGAGGAACAACCATAAAAACATACAGTCGAATTGAGTACCGGCTCCTTTTTGAAGTCGGTTGATAAGAAAGATGTAAGAGGGGAAATCTTCCTAATAAAATCTTAATAATAATTTTAAAACAAAATACATGTGTGCAGTTCACACGCGGTAGAAGCGAAATCGTCAGAAAAGAGACCGAGATAATAGGAAACACTGTGTACCGTATTCTATCTCATTCTGATGTATGTTTGTCTCTTTTTAGTTCGCTTCGTTTCATCGAGTTTCAAATCAAATCGATTCTAAAGAAATTTTCACTTCAAAAATTGTGGCTGCCAACCCACCTTCCAAGAGTGGCAATTTTGGTAAATATACCCATATAAGATCAATCAAAGGCAACAGAGAGAAGTGAAACACGAGATGGGCAGCAGCATCCTTCTGATAACAATTCCCCGTGAAGTGCCGGTTAAGAATACCCACTACCTGATAACTTCCCGTGGGTTTCAGACAGAAGGGCAGCAGCATCTTTCTGATAAAAGCAAATTACAATAAAAAAACTGCAGTTGCCAACCCGCTCGCCAAGCGTGGCAACTTTGGCAATATACCCCCATAAAAATTATTATTAGATTATTACAAAAATTACAAAAAGACGGCCCTCAGTCCCCGGCGGTAACGGTATTCCTGGCTACGGTAGCGACCATGGTAACGACGGGGCAGGGGGTGCTAAGAATTTCCGGTGGAGGTTCAGTTGCTACCAAAGACGACTTGACCTGGCAACATATAACGCACGCACCCTGAGAACTGAGGAGAAAATCGTGGAACTGGAAGAAGAGATAGACAAGTTGCGCTGGGATATTATAGGATTATCTATATATGCGTCTATAGTATGCGTACCTTATCAGAATCACGAAACGGTATTCGTTGAAGGTCATACAGGTTTACGCACCAAGCTCGACACATCCTGTTGAGGAGGTGGAGGAAATGTATGAGGATATCTCTAAAGCCATGCATTCTTCCAAAACCCAATATACGGTTTAATGGGAGACTTCAACGTAAAACTAGGCACAAGAGAGAACGGCGAGCTAAGGGTAGGGAAATTTGGAATAGGCTAACGGAACCCAAAGATCCAGCAGCTGGTCGACTTCATGGAGAAAGAGGGACTCTTTCTGATGGACGCTTTCTTCCAAAAGCGGCCCCACAGGAAGTGGACCTATTCTAGTCCCGACGGTTCTACAAAAAATGAGATTGACTTCATTATGACGACTAGACGACAACTGTTCAGTGATGTCTCAGTTGTCGCAAGGGTGAAAACTGGTAGCGATCACCGAATGTTTAGAGGCACACTGAACCTAAACGTTAAGTTGGATAGGTCTCGTCTAATGAAGTCAACGCTTCTTCACCATCTTGCTCTAATCCACAGTCTCGAAACCTTTCAGCTCAAGTTACAAATCCGTTTTAAGTGCCTAGAAGACTGCAATGAAGTGGACGATATGAATGACAAGCTCGTAGAATCTGTCCATGCGATCGGAGCTAAGTTTTGCAAGACCCCCCGCAGAAGAACACAAAAACTCTCCGATCACACTTCTTAATCTCATGGCTGTTAGCTGGGAAATGAAGCTGCAGTCTTCAGTAGATTTGGCAGTATACAGACAACTGAACAGACAGATCTCCAAATGCATGCGGCGGGACTTACGCCACTTTAATACTGCTCGTATTGAAGAAGCGATCGAGTGGACCTTTTCTTCGATTACTTTTGAATGTGACGGTACTCGATAACAATTTTCGACTGTCCAGCTTACCGTTACAGTCCACAGCTGAACATAGGCCTCCCTTATAGATTGCTTCATGGGGGGATATTTGCACTAGTTGCCACGCTTGGCAAGCGGTTTGTCAACCGCAGTTTCTTAGTCTTAGCCCTTCTAAAGAGAACGCTGCTGTCCTTCTCCTGATTTGTTTCCCTCTGTCGCTTCTTACGACACCCACGGGATTATATGGAGTAGTAAACTACTCGTAAGATCAACCCACCATTGTGAAATAAAAATACTAGACGTGACATAATTGTATAACTTATAATTCGGTTACTGATCATAAGATATTGGGTTGGAATCCTGGGTCAGGCCAAAATCAGTTATGGAGTTTTCTGTCCCTGTACCTGTCAAGAAATTCTCAGTAACACCCCGGAGTCAGGAAAGTTGGTGGTGTTTCACTACCGTGCCTTTGAAATCACGTAAAGCTGCTAGTCCTGCGCCTGATTTCTCTCCGGTCATGCCGAATTACCGTCCCATCGGTTTTGTATATGAGAGTGAGGAAGAGAGAGTGCTTCTGTGCTTGCACATACACTTGGGCACTACAATCCTGTTCTGTCTCCATTGAAACAGGTCACTGTGACCGAAATTCGGTCCGGAAGACATTATTTTTATTATTACTAATAATTTAAATTTCTATTTGCAGGGATTCGCTATGGGTCTCCAAGCGGCAGCAGGCCCAGTAAGCATAGCGGAGTATTCATCTCCCAAATACCGTGGAGCATTCCTTGCAACCATCGCGTTTTCATTCGCATTGGGCATGCTTGTAGCTCATATATTCGGGACCATACTCTATTGGCGAGCAGCCGCTGTGGCTTGCGGCAGTTTCTACGTCATATCATTGATCTTGATTTCCATATCTCCAGAGACACCACCATATTTGGCATCGCGAGGCAAGAACAGCGAATGCCGAAAGGCTTTTAAGTTGTTAAGAGGAGATGATGAAAATTCGGAGAAAGAATTAGAAGTGCTAATCAAAAGCCAGAGAAAGACCGCAGGGCCCAAGGTGCCACAGTTCACGTTCTATCGACAGATGATCACGAAACCTGAATTCTACAAGCCTACTGTCATAATGATGTTCATGTTTATACTGTTCCAATTATCAGGTATGACTGTCGTGCCGTCGTACACTGTGCCCATTATGGAAGAAGTCTCAGGTGGAACCATCGAGCCTTATACAAGTATGCTGATGGTAGACATTGTTAGATTTTTAACCGCCATCATAGCTTGTTTTGCTATCAACAAGTTCAACAGAAGGACCGTCCTATTCCTGGGTATTATTATCAGCGTGGTTTCTCTTCTGACAACTGCCTTGTTACTCTATCTTCGAGATGGCGGATACATAACTGACAAATACAAATGGACACCTGTAGTGCCCACTCTCTTCTATATCTTCGGCAAAACCTTTGGCATTTTACCTATCCCCTGGGCGATAGCTGGCGAAATATTTCCTTTGGCATACAGGAGCGTGGGGAGCGGTATATCAGGAATGTTCCTCTCGATTATGTTCTTCGTCGTAGTTAAAACTGCACCGTCTTCGTTCAGTCAAATTGGAATTAACGGGACGTTCTGTGTTTATGGAATCAGTGTCGCGATTTGTGGACTTTTCCTCTTCTTCCTCCTGCCAGAAACAAAAGGAAAAACTCTGTATGAGATTGAGTGTCATTTTAGAGGGGCGAAAGCAGGGATGGTTAAAGCAGATTGGTCCGAGAAGGACAAAATGCTGGAGTTAAAAAATGTGGAAGAGGGTTGAGGAGGTGAAAGGAATAATCATGAAACGCTTTCCGGCTCTACAGCTGGCCTTGATGATAGGTGATGTTTAATATCGAACAATTGAAATATGCCACGTTTGAAACTTAATATATGTATAACATCAAATGTTTTGCAACAAGCGGCAAATACTTAAAACTATTTTTTATCAAATAACCCAGTCAGGCACATTACTTTGTGTAACTACTTAAATACTTCTTTGTGTTTAGATTAGAATATAAGATATACGTAGTATAAGTTGCACCAATAAAGAAGCGTTTTAAAATGGCGGCCGTTTTTTGACGTACGGTCAGGAAAGCAAACTGTCAAAATATTACTTTTTTTTATTTCAAGTTTTATTTTTATTTTAAGACTTAAAAAAGGAGGAGGTTCCCACATTGACTGTTTTTTATAAGTATCTTTGCCGGTTATAAAAATAAGTGTGATACTTTTGCCGGTTCTGTTAGGGATCTTAAGTATTCTTCTTTATTTGTAAGATTAGGTATGTTTTTATGGTGATTCCATATAAATTAGTAGCAAAATTATAGTTGTAATTTATTTATTTAAGGACAGCTAGAGATAATTACAATAATACATTTACATTAAAAACGCCTGCCGTTAGTACCAACTTTTTGGACAGGTCGTTTACTATCCAAGCAGTGAGTCTGCACTCAAAATATCTATAAAATATAAGTAAATGTGAAATCTGCACATGCGAATTTCGAAGCAAATGATTTATCTAATTTGATAATTTTCAACCATAATTGAGGCATAAAATATAACATAAAAGTTTCATTTCATATCAAAGATATGTTACAATCCTTATTTTTAGACATGTAGAGCCTAAATTATAGTGTATAAATTAAATCAAAATAATATTTTCTTTCTACTAAATTTGCTTTGACATAGCGACGTCTACTTCATTTCATAGGTAGTCATTTTATCAAACAAAAATTGATTGACTCTCAAGGTGGTCCATAAATCGGTAAGATATGAAATCAAGGAAGTTAAGAAGTTTGTATATGATAATTTTATTCAAAATAAATAATTTAATTCGTTTGATAAATTTGTATTTTTTTTTTAAATGTAAAAAGTTATATTAACCATCTTTAACAGAGGAGAGCGAGATAATAGGAAACACTTTATATTGTACTAGCTGTGCGGTTCCCGCCTATATCGTTCGTCTGCGCCACGCTACATGACAACTCGCTTAGGCGAGGCGTTCGCTGCTGGTTTCTCTCAATTCTCATAAGGTGCTAGGTATGGTCACGGGGGGGACATGGGTGCTGTAAAGTGCTTGAAACGTCGGGAATGTAAACTAAGTTAATATACGCGATAAAATCCGTAAAATTACTTTCATTTAAATGTGTAGTGTTCGCGTAAATATAAGAAGTCTTTTGTAGACTTAGATTCAAATACTAGTAGACCATCTTCCACGAATCCTTTGTCGCTGCCAATGTGCAACACAATTAACCTTTTACCTTTTCCTGTCGGAGCTTTAGGACCGGCTGATAAGCCATCTAGAAAGGCTTGTCTTTTATTTTTTACCGTTGTATCCAACCATGCTCTTGTCTTTACGTGTCCGGCGTTTACCCACGTTTCGTCAAGATAGTAAATGGTTTTATTAGTGGCTCTGTATTCTTTTATTTGCCTCAGATATTTACGCCTCCATAAAACAATATCTTCTCTTTCGACTAACAATGTTCTGCTATCCTGTTTATTGAAATCGAAACCAAGCTCGTGCATTATTTTATGAAGTGTGGTACGTTTGAAAACAGGAATATCTTCGTCAGCTTCGCAAAGTGTCATAATTTTGTCCAATGTCGAGTAGTCCTTATTTAAATATATTGAGTGAACTTTTCTCCTTATTGCACATTTGTCTAGTTCATCTAATTTATCGACCGTCGATAGTCGAGCTCTTTTTTTCACGGGTGATTTTAATGTGTTAGTATCCTTTTGTTCTTTAATAATTTTATAAACAGTATTTTCGGACACAACACATGCACTTGCGTTTTTATTACTGTGCTCTCCACAGTCGCATTTAAATCACACAGTTTAAAGTACTACATTGTAAATTACGCGTCTTTCTCCGCTATGGATTATTGATTCAGTTTTATTCTTTTGAATAGGTGAGGTATTCATTTTCAAAATTTAATGTTGAACGAGTAACACGCAAAATACACAACCGTTTTGTTCGAAGGCCTGACTTCAACTGGTCACTGTGAACTCGACTTTCTAATTTCTTGCATTTTAATTGGCTGCGGGGCGTGGCCAGGCCGGCGGACAACGATTACTCACTATTTTCTTAACGCGAACGGACTAAAAAGAGCAAATCGAGACGGATTTCAAGATTATAGAAGAGAGCCAGGGTTGACTGTATGGAGTGTAGAGTACAAGGAGAACCATCTTATAAGGGGCGAAAGTTGAAAAAGTGTCCTACTATTTACTGAAAATAGAGGTTCCAAAACCTACCACAATAGCGCTGGCGTCTGAAAAACTACGATATGAAGAGCTGTTGTGAACGGAGTGAAGTCAGCTTAATTCAAATATTTAAAAAATTTCATGACTAGAGTAGTTAGTAAAATCCCATTATACAAAATCTCAACTATTTACGTAGTACAAAACCAAGCGGATTGGTCGGTCCTTGTTTATTTCTCCTTCTTATTCTAATTACTTTTGGCGCTTTTTTTTTAATTTATCCTATGCTACTGCAGCGCTACCCTTATTGGACGCGTTTTTAGGGACTCTTTTCTTATATAGAGATGGTCCTCCTTGTACTCTACACTCCATAGTTGACTTGAAGAGAATGCCATAAGGCATTAAGTCCGCCCTTTATATCCAAAATCCTTTATATAAATGATTAAATAAATAAATAACTATTTTATTTTTTTGCATACGGTACTTAGGTGTTCGAGTATATTAACGTATGAGACAGAAAATATGCTTCGGGCGCCTTTTATAAAACGCTTCTTTAATTACGAGACTTTTATAGTAATGGTGACAGAAAAATATACAATATTATATTTTATGCAAACAAACGTTTACACTGACTTTTTTTATTTAAAATCCTGATGTCTAACTAACCGTTTAATGTGTTGCAAGGTTTATCTGTGTTACATATACAATATGTGTGAAGTATTGAAGGTATCCGTGAAGGTGCTTTTAGGTATCGAGAAATGATTTGGTGAGAGAAAAAAATGCCCAGAAAGATGTAATAAAAATAAAAATTTTACGTGGTAGAGCCATGCTGCAGCTATATTAGTAGTATAGTTGTAGCACGAATGGGTCAGTTCGACCGGGGAAGGACCACGCTCTCACAGAATACCAGCGTCAAATAGCAGCTTAACACTGCTGTGTTTCGTATGGTGAGTGTATAGAACCGGAGACCCTTTTTACTGGAAACGAGGCATTCCACCTTACTCCTCACGGGTGGCAACGCTTCTGTATTTTGATTCGCAAACGAGGATAAATGTAGATGTCTATGGGCCACAGCAACCACTTACCATCAGGTGGACTGTGTGCTCGTTTGTCACCCTATACTATAAAAAAATGGTGAAGTTACATGGCAATTATACTTGCAACGAATGTTCGACTATTGTTCCGTATTCGGCCTATTCGGCTACCTTTATCCTATCCGGTCGAACACAGAATATCTAAGTATTAACCGGCCGAATACCGATTACATAAGTAAGATGTTTTGTTATAGTCACATAATTGGTAAAATGAAAATATTCATTTATTTTATAACAATACATATTTCTTGTAATCATTAAAGCAGTCATAGGTACATAATCAACTTCCAAATTATAATAATTTACAAAAAAAAACTATGAAATAAATGTCTATGCACTTGAATTATTAATTATATCAACTTTATACTTTTTTATACGTGGTAGAGCCATGCTGCAGCTATATTAGAAATATAGTTGTAGCACGAATGGGTCGGCTCGACCGGGGAAGGACCACGCTCTCACAGAATACCAGCTTAACGCTGCTGTGTTTCGTATGGTGAGTGCAGAGATCCGGAAACCCTTTTTACTGGAAACGAGGCATTCCATCTTAGTCCTCACGGGTGACAACGCATCTGCATTTTGATTCGTAATCGGAGATAGATGTAGATGTCTATGGACCACAGCAAACACTCACCATCAGGTGGACTGTGTGCTCATTTGTCACCCTTAACCTACAAAAAAAATATATTAACTATTCCGCATTTTCAGTGGCTTACGCATTTTCTTCTCGTAGACAATCCCAGCTCTGAATAAACACTTTTTACGTGGTAGAGCCATGCTGCAGCTATATTAGTTGTATAGTTGTAGCACGAATGGGTCGGCTCGACCGGGTAAGGACCACGCTCTCACAGAATACCAACGTAAAATAGCAGCTTAATGCTGCTGTGTTTCGTATGGTGAGTGTTGAGAACCGGAGACCCTTTTTACTGGAAATGAGGCATTCCATGTTAGTCCTCACGGGTGACAACGCATCTGCATTTTGTTTAATGTAGATGTCTATGGGCCACAGCAACCACTTACCATCAGGTGGACTGTGTGCTCGTTTGTCACCCTTATCCTATAAAAAGAACAGAACTTCCTTCCCGGTCGAATATTTTGCCTAATATCCATTATGCTGCTATTTATTTGTATTTTCTTCAAATAACGTTAACCCCACACTAGGATTTTCTCCTGTATCTTGCAGGCAGTTTACAAACATAAAAGGACGAACATCTAGACCCGAAACAATTATTTTTAGGCCATACTAATACTAGGATTCGAACCCGTGACGCCCAGCGCTGCAAGCCATTGCAAAGCCACTGCGCCACGAAGTCGTCTTTCGGATTCGGCCTGTTCGGCCAGGAAGCTCGCAGATTATTTTTTTATAGTATAGGGGGGCAAACGAACATGCGGCTCACCCGATGGTAAGTGACTACCGCCGCTCATGACCAATTGCAACACCAGGGGAATTGCAAGTGCGTTGCCGGCCTTTTAGAAAGGAGTAAGCTCTTTTCTTGAAGATCTCTAAGTCGTATCGGTCCGGAAAAATCGCCGGTGTTAAACTATTCCACAAAGAGGTTATGCGAGGAAGACAACTCCTAGTAAAACGCACGATGGTGGACCGCCAAGCATCCAGATGGTGTAGATGGTATCGTGAGTTTTGTCGCGATGTGCGGTCGTGAAATTTGCCGGCTGGAATTTATTCGAACAATTCTTCAGAGCACTCCCCGTGGCAAATGCAATAGAAGATGCAAAGGGATGCAACATCCCTTCGCATCGCGAGTGAATCGAGCCGATCAAAAAGAACTCTGTGGTGAATGATTAGAGCCCCTCTGCGCTGGATGCGACTGGCACTGGGGTGCCCCGGCCCAAAGATGAGAACAGTATTTCGTGTGAGGCCGAACCTGCGCCTTGTAAAGTTGCAAGCAGTATGCCTGCATAAAATACCGTCCCGCTCTACTGAGCACGCCAAGCTTTATGGAGGCCAATTTAGCCTTCCCTTCCAAGTGACCACGAAACTGCACATCATTCGATATGTAGATGCCGAGGTTCTTTTTAGAGGTTTTTTTTTTTTATAGAATTAGGATGACAAACGAGCACATAGTCCACCTGATGGTAAGTAGTTGCTGTGGCCCATAGACATCTACATCTATCCTCGATTACGAATCAAAATGCAGATGCGTTGTCACCCGTCAGGACTAAGATGGAATGCCTCGTTTCCAGTAAAAAGGGTCTCCGGATCTCTACACTCACCATACGAACCACCAACACAGCAGCATTACGCTGCTATTTTACGCTGGTGTTCTGTGAGAGCGTGGTCCTTCCCCGGTCGAGCCGACCCATTCGTGCTACATCTATACTATTAATATAGCTGCAGGATGGCTCTACCACGTAAATGTACAAACCTGTATCTTCTGAGGTTAACCGGGACTAGATTTAGACGTCCCCAATCCGAGACTTTGATTAACAATGACTCGACTTCAGACACAATTTTGTCCCGTAATCGATGACCTGATCCCGAGAAACATGCTTCAATGCTTTTTATACCAAGAGGGGCGTCAACGGAGACCTGATATCCGTCCGGATGAGAGGTCAGCAAAACCGCGATGACCATTAGAGTTCAGCCAACAGGTAAGGTTGTGACCATGCCTCCACATCTGAAATCCGCGTAGGCGAAGTAACCGGTTGTGTCCGACCATATGCGAAGGCAAAGTCATAATAAGATCTCCCCGCATGATCGGTTTAACGTGAACTGAGCCATTGGGCGTGATGAGCGTTAAAACCTCTAAGGATCACGATCTCTGCGGATGGGATCTGCTGTAGCAGGGAATCTGTAGACGTGGTCGATGAGCCAGTCTGTGTCGGCATTACCGCTATGGGACCTATAGACACACCCGTAGATGTGCGGACGGTCATCGCTCTCTACGCGTAGCCAAAGGATGGGCAGGTCCAAACCTTCAAGACTAACGAGGCATCAAGAACAGATGTCCTCTCTGACGTCTACGCAAACTCCAGCCCGAAGCACAAAGGAGTGTTCCATTTTGTACCCCGGGTATGAGGAGAGATACTTCGTATCGGCCGGAGGACACCTGCGTCTCGGTCAGAAAGACCAAGACCAGCTTCGCCGTTTCCAGACGGTAGTGGACGGCGTTTTGAAGTCCCCTAATGTTGCAGAAATTCTCGGATAGTGGTCTTGCTGCTCAGCTTGCCCCGAGCAGTTTTTATCTTGAGCGGAATTTGGCCCAAGCCAGTATACGCCGGGCAGCCTGAGCACCCACGCTCAGTAGTGGAGTAGCTTGGTCGTAGATGCTCAGCGAGGGATTCTATAGGAGGAGTGGGGGGAATGGGGCCTCCAGCCACCTGCACCCATACGTGCATCATCAAAGCTGCCACTGTTAATAATATTCGGTGTTTGGCATATTTTGGTCGAATACACTACCATCGCGGTCGACGGTGTTGCCAGATTATGTTTATGTATGTTTAAGATTATGCCAGGTAATGTCATTGTATATAACTATATACCAAAAAAAGTGCCGTTTCGGATCGTACAGGCTATTTTATACATATTGTAGATATTGCTCGGTGAATCATCCCTATTTGTATTATTAAATACCTACCTATTGACCTATTGGATTAGAACTGGTAATACAGACTATCTTACATGTATGTATAGAGCGTTATTTGTGTTCACTTAGCTCTTAAATTTATGCACCTTGTTTTTATACCGCATTCATGCCACACATGAGTAAAACCTGTCACCAATAACTGTCTCCAGTATTTGTCACTACGACAGAGTATACGGAACACAATATGAGTTCTATTAGCGACATAATAAATTACATTTGTTTTTAAAATAAATAAAAGTTGGTTTATTGGTGTAATTATTTTAGTCCTCTGTTTAACATAATATAGCCCTATTCATAAACACGTGCATTTATTAAAAGTTTAAAGGGGTGCTGTAGCGGACAGCGGTGTTATCGATATATCGACTCGGCACACGAATGGACCTACCGGTCCGAGTAATAATAGATCGAGGAGATATGAGCGCTACAGTGCTAAATAATTGATTATTATTAAGTAATCAATTATTATTATTAAATAATTGATTATTATTATTATTAAATAATTGATTATTATTATTATTATTAAATAATTGATTATTTATTATATGTAAATTCTTTATTTCTTAACGAAAATTCAATTTCAAGCTTAAATAGTTTTACATTAACTATATTATAATTACTTTTCGGGCAATTTTACAGTGATTCATTAAATACTCACAGCCTTAATTATAAATATCATTTATTAATTGTTTAAATAAATAAATAGGTTCATATACTATATTTTATATAGCTTATTAACTGTAAGGAATTACAACTTTTAGCAAAAAATAGTTTATGCATGAACGATAATAGTACGAGTATACGACAAATAACAAAAACTTGTGGTTTCCGTTAAGTGCGTTATGAGAATCACTATTCAAACAGAAATAACTTTAAAAAACTTGACCAAAATTAAATTATTTAAATGAAATTTTATTTGCCAATTGTATGTGGTTTTATTACCTCTAGCCACAAACTAATAAGAAGTGCTAGCGCACCTCTAACTGTCGGTTAAGCGGGGTCTACTCGTATGACAATCATCGATATATTATATGTACTACGTACTAGATTTCGCATTCCGAACGTACACTATGTTCAACTGAACTGTACTGCAAACCATACAGTGTGTCATTTAGTGTGGTTTCAATCTACTAATTAGTCTGTGGTTTCAATATACATGCAGTGTGGAGCGGCGCTAATAATACAAGATTTCAAATTAAAGCTTAAATTAAAAACTGACCGCGCAGACGCAACGCGCTTAAATCAACTGCATATGTGCAAAGACATAGAGTAGTGCACAATTTTTGCTTAGAATGCCTTCTCTAGTAAGTAAGAATGAGGCCTTGTCACAGAGTAAAGAGTCGGTTTCTTTACTCATGTGGCCTTGTTGAAGAGCGTTTAGCTTCAGCGGGTGGAGCAATCTAAGCCCCGCTGCATGGTCAACTACTGGCTCAACAACTAAACGAAATGGCTATACCGCCCTCTATTGACAGTCAAACGATTTTTCTGACATGTCCTCTTACAGCATAATCTTACAAAGTGGGATGATGATAGGGTTGCCACCCGTACTATAATATATAGTATCGTACTATATTTCAGTCAATTATTGTTCTATAAATTATAGAAAAATAATATAATACGAAAAATACTATATTTTTATCCCTAATTCAACTGTAGAGCTTTTTTATTTTATATTAACTGTGACTGGAAGTTCGGGACAAGTAAGTTTTACGCAAAGAGTTTTTTCACACATATATGTAAAATGGAGAGAAGAAAAAATAGAGCGTGTAGATATTAATTTAATTAAAATGAATTGTTAATTTATTTTAATATGAATCTAGATTGCTCAGATTCCAATAATTATTTTAAAGGTTCATTGATGGCCAAAGCGAAGAGCAATCACAAATATTTATGGAAAAAAGTATCGATTAAAAATTGTACTTTTTTTCTTGAATTTCCCAAAAGCACTATATTGTTGCATATTTTTTGGGGAAAATACGACATTTATTCAAAAAAAGGTGGCAACCATAGATGACGCAATCACTAACGCCGCCACCAAATGACGGTTAGTTACATGAGATAAATCTACACCAGGCGTTCAATAGATGTCGTAAACGGACGGTAAAAGGACACTCAATAACTCATTATACACTTTCAATATACTTACACAATATATAACACAAATAAAACGCAGGAAGAGTTTTGTTAAAAATCCCTATAAAGTTGACGGAGGACCTCAGACCAATTAAATAATTCTTCTGTCTGAGAAAGAAACATTAGTAAAGCAAAGAAAAATATGAATATGTGAATATTGTACAATGCACGCGCGGCCATTTTGCGAGAATTTGGCCTTTCACACTCTGCAACAAACACTGTGCTCTTACAAGCTAAATTTTGAAGACTATTATTACGATATTACTACTTAGAATAAATACATATTATGCCGTATTACAAGGTTTTTTTATAATATTACAATATTACACAATTAGTTGAAGCTATTTCAAAAAAATTACATCCAGTCTCATAATTTTCTAAAGAATATTCTAATAAAGTATATGAGAGCTGCATCTCCGCATCTCGACGATGGATTTCCCGTTCAATGGCTGTGCACTTCTATAGTCTTCCGCAGTCCATCCACGGAAGCTGTTCTCAATGTCTTGCAGAGTCCTGTCCTTAGTTTCCGGCAACATGAAGTAAATGACGGACAGACAGGCCACCACAACGCCAGCGTACAAACAATAAGTCCATGGGAGGCCCACCGCAAGGTTTAACATTGGGAAGGACTTTACAGCGACAAAGAAATTTAAAGATAGTGCTAAAACACTGATTCCACCTCCCAATCCCCGATATTCAAGGGGAAATATTTCCCCGGATATTGTGAAAGGTATGGACGATATACCGACAGTAAGGGAAAACATGTAAGAGCCTATAAGAATAAGTGGTATCCATTGGTTGTCGAACGGTGGATGAAGTAAACCGTTCGCTTTGCTATAAGCGTAACCCGCCTTCCCAAGGTACGAAAGAACACAGATGGCGCCGCTACTAAACAACAACGTCCTCCGTTTCATGGTCTTCATTAAAAACACGGCAAGTATATTGCAAACCAATCTCTCAATGTCCAGTGCAACCATAATCAACTTGGCGTTTACCCCTGGCCCGACCAACTGATGCACGATATCTATCACATAGGAACTTATGACGTTTATGCCAGCGAATTGGAACATAGTGTACAATAAAAACATTATTATGATAGGTTTGTAAAACTCCGGTTTTTTTGACGTTTCCCTTAGATAACTAAGCAAACGCCTAATCCGTGTGCCGATGGGCTGCTTCTGGTCACCGACACTCGATTTCCTGGCCGATTTCTGAGCTGCGATCATATCTTCCAACTCCAACTCCTGCTCCCTATCACGTCCTCTCAACCAGAAAAATATCTCGCTTCCCTTGTCGTAACGCCCTTTTGCTATCAGCCACGACGGCGATTCAGGTGTGTAGATGATCAGAAGCAAGCTGGTAAAAGTGATAAATGAACAGATCAATGCATTCTGTTGCCAACTAAAATAAGCCCCTAATGCATGGGAAAACAGGACACCAATCGTTAGGGAGAGCGAGACACTGGTGAGGAAAGCTCCTCGATTTTTCGGGTCTGTCATTTCGCTGATGATAATAGACCCCAAAGGTCCGAGCATGCCCATAGCGACACCCTGAAGGAATCTTGCTGTAATCAGTCCCGCAACGCTGTTCACCATGAGCAGCATAAACCAGCCTGTCATGTTGGGTAAGATTGTAAGCAAATGGGACTTTTTTCTGCCAAGTGTATCCACCATGGGTGTCATGATTAAGTTGCCGACTATCAGAGCAAAACCGACGATGGACGCTGAAAAAAGCAAGGTATTATAAAATATATAATAATGTAAATTCACCTACCAACATAAATTAAGTTAAATAAATGTTAAATAATATTAATTTAACGTTTATTAGAGTCGTAAAAATATTCACTACCCTATTTAGTGCCGTGGCTCTAAACAAAGCAGCTTCTCAATATCCCAATATTGAAAACTGCGGTTGCCAAGCGTGACAACTATAGCAAGTATCCCCCTCTGATGGGGAGATCTTTGAGGAGGCCTATGTTCACCAGTAGACTTTGATAGGTTGTAACGATGATGATGATGAACGTTGTATATAAAACTGCTTGTAATATCAAGTTCTAGTATCAATCAGGCATCTGTCGCTCGTCGTCGTCTGCTCGCATTCCTGTGGAATTCAAATCTTGTGCGAAAACCCTTTTCAATGGAAACGAAGCTTTATCTTAGTCCTCAGGGTTAGGGTGACAGCACAACAGATTCAGTATGTGTTGGCGCACTCCACATGTACTAGAAATATGTTCTATCCCTCAGACATAAAGGTTGCCTTGTTTGAAGGTTGACGATGTTTTTGTTTTTATAGAATAAGGGAGACAAACGAGCACTCAGTAAGTAGATGCTGTTGCCCGTAGACATCTACATCTATCCTCGATTCAGGATTAAAATGCAGATGCGTTGTTAGCCCTGAAGAACGCCTCGTTTTCAGTAAAATCGTTTAGTAAATTGTTCATCGCTACACCGAGTTCTTGGTAAATAGCATTTACAATTGCAATTAACAGTTCATTGGTGCCGGCGGGCACCTTTACGGATCCAAATCGGAGTTGCCTCAGCCACTATAGTAAAATTATTTTCTCTGTGCAGTTAGGGTCATAAATAATAACTCGGCCTCAGCCCGGCTATGGCGGTGAGCATGTTGCGCGGGCGCAACGCTATTATCGATAACAACAAATGATTTTTATATTTATTTAATAAATATTTATTAATTATAATATTTACATAATAATGTAAATGATTTTTACTTTTATATTTATTTTAATATAACTTGTTACATTCCAAATATTTGTACTTATAGTTTTTTAATACATAGATACCTAATTAATAATTTATTTTAAATCATTATTATTCTTATTTTAATACATACATTGTTTTATCTCTATTTTTTTTATTTTTATCACTAACCCACATAATGACAAAACTAAATACACTATCGATATCGTTTATCGACAACAGTGATGTGCATCACTATGCTCGCCCCTAAGGCCCGTGAGTGGGAGTGAGAGCGAAATATTCCTATGATTTATAACCCAAACTGCATGGACAAAATTATTCTACCGCCTCTATAATTATACCACGATTTTTAATATCACCACTACAGCCTATTAAAAGTCCATTGTTGAAAATAGGCCTCCCCCATAGATGCCCTGTAACATTTACCCTCATTGCCACACCACGCCAGCATACTAATGCAGGTTGGCAACCGCAGTTATTGTTTTTTATTCAAGTGTTTTCAGAAAGATTGTGCTGCCCACCTCGTCAGCCTCTTACGACACCCACGGATGATGTTGGGTAGTGGATATTCTTACACCGTTACAACACGGTTATATCTTTGTGTTCTTTATAAATAACGGTGTATCTAAAAATGCCTTTAATATTTTCTAAATTTTAATTGGTTATGGGATGTGGTTAATGAAGGCCCATTTTAATGGCATTCAATCATAGTCTTCAGGGGTGACAACGTGACAACGCATCTGCATTTTGATTCTTAATTGAGGATAAATGTAGATGTCTATTGGCCACAGCATCCACTTACCATTAAGTAGAATGTGTGCTCGTTTGTCACCGTTATTCTATAAAAAAGTGCGAATTCACTAAGGTAATGAAGGTATTTATGTGTATACTAGCTGTTCCCCGCGACTTCGCCCGCGTGTAATTTATGGTTTTAATTTTTTTGCGCGGAATCCTAATTATTTTTCTATAATATAAGCCTAAGTTACTTCTTATAACATAAGCTATCTACCAGTGAAAGTCCCGTCAAAATCGGTCCAGCCGTTTCGGAGATTAGTCGGAACAAACAGACAGACAGACAAAAATTTTAAAAATTATGTTTTTGTTATAAGTACTGTATATACTTTCATATGCAATTAGTAAAAAGCTGTTATTTTGACATAACAAACGGACACTTCAATTTTATTTATTTGTAAGATGAGTCTGATGAACACGAGAGTAACTTGCTCACCGATCCATGACTCCTCACTCGGTGTGACGGCGATATGAGAGCCCGGTTGACGCAGTGCGGTGATCAGCACGGCGGCGTAGCCTATAACAGCACCATGTCCAGTTATGTTCAGCGCCACACTCGCCGTCACAAAGCACTGGAAGCAGTTAACGTTCTGTTAGTTCGAAATAGGATAGAATAGCAGAAAATCATTTTTATTCATTACTAGCTGTTCCCGCGACTTCACCCGCGTGTCATCATCATTACAGCCCTTCACAAGTTCACATTTCATCCGCCGGTACCAGGCCGCCACTCAAGAACCTTTTTTCCCCATCGGTTGTCGGTTCTTCGAGCTATATGGCCGGCCCATTGCTACTTCAACTTACTCATCCGTTGGGCTATGTCGGTCACTCTGGATCTGCTGTGAATATCCTCATATCTAAGTTTATCACGCAGAGAAACTCCGAGCATAGCCCTATCCATAGCTCGCTGAGCAACATTGAGATTCCTCATCCGGTCAGCAGTGAAGGAACACGTCGCAGTTCCATAGGTCATCACTGGCAACACGCACTGTTGTACAGTCTCGTTTTCAAGTTTTAAGGTATACCTGACGAGAAAATGTGCCGTAATTTCCCTAACGCTGCCCACCAGAGTTGAATCCGTCGATTGACCTCTCGGTCGAAGTTGGACTTACCTAGTCGGACTATTTGTCCCAGGTAAACATACTCGTCAACAACTTCGAGCTTAGTGCCTCCAACAACCACCGACATAGGTGTGACATAGACATTAAACATGATCTTTGTTTTGTCCATGTTCATCTTAAGACCTATCCGTTGTGAGACACTATTGAGGTCATTGAGTATAGAGCTTAGGTCCTCCAGCGATTCTGCCATAAGGACTATATCGTCGGCAAATCGAAGGTGAGTGATGTACTCGCCATTGAGGTTGATACCGTATCTTTTCCAGTCCAGAAGCTTGAAACCGTCTTCCAATACAGCGGTGAAGAGTTTCAGGGATATAATGTCACCCTCTCTTACACATCTCTGCAATTGGATAGGTATGGTACTCTGGTTCTGTACTCGGATAGCCATCGTAGCCCTACTGTACAAGCACTTCAGCACTTCGATATACCGACAGTCAACTTGGCACCACTGAAGGGACTGCAGCACCGCCCAAATTTCGACAGCATTTTCTCATACTCGTAGTCCACATACGCCAGACATAGTGGCAAATTGTACTCCTCGGACTTCTGTACAAAGGCTATGTATGTGTTCTATGGTGCTAAAGCCTTTTCGGAAACCGGCTTGTTCGGGAGGCTGGAAGTCGTTAAGTCTGCGCGCGAGACGATTCGTAATGACTCTCGAAAACAGCACGTAGACGCGGCTCTCGTAAATCGATCTGTAGTTCTTCAAGAGAGAGTTGTCGCCTTTCTTGAAGAACAAGACCACCGCACTTCTGCTTCACGCCTCCGGTGTAATGCCACCATGGGGGACGGAAATAAAGAGCTTCTGAAGGACTTCAAGTACCGGTTTTCCACCCGCTTTCAGAAGCTCCGCTGTAGTTCCATCCTCGCCTGGGGTCTTGACGTTTTTAAGGTGCTGGAGAGCCATTCTAATCTCGCTCAGACTGACATCCGGGATATCATTGGAATAGTGTCGGATAAGACTCGCTCTTGGATCGTTACTCACACTTGCGTGTGGCTCCAACCATGATGTGCACAGCTGCCCATAAAACCTCTCAATCTCACTCAAAATCTCAGGTGTCCCGGAAACGTGCAGCTTGGCTCTACTACATTATAACGTGGTAGAGCCATGCTGCAGCTATATTAGTAGTATAGTTGTAGCACGAATGGATCGGCTCGACCGGGGAAGGACCGCGCTCTCACAGATTACCAGTGTCAAATAGCAGTTTAACACTGCTGTGTTTCGTATGGTGAGTGTAGAGAACCGGAGACCCTTTTTACTGAAAAAGAGGCATTCCATCTGAGTCCTCACGGGTGACAACGCATCTGCATTTTGATTCGCAAACGAGCATAAATGTAGATATATATGGGCCACAGCGACCACTTACCATCAGGTGGACTGTGTGCTCGTTTGTCACCCTATACTATAAAAAAAACGACGCTGCCACACTCGGTCTTCAGCTTCAACAGTTGACTATTTCTGGCAGACAGATCTCTAGCAAAGACTTTGGAGCCCTGGTTCCGCTCGATCGCTTCTTCAATACGAGCAGTATTAAAGTTGCGGCGGGCATGCATTTGGAGATCTGTCTGTTCATTTGCCTGTATGCTGTCAAATCTACTGAAGACTACAGCTTCATATCCCGTCTAACAGACATGAGATCAAGAGTGTGATCGGAGAGTTTTTGTGTTCTTCTGCGGCGGGTCTTGCAAAAATTAGCTCCGACCGCATGGACAGTTTCCACGCACTTGTCATTCATATCGTCCACTGAATTGCAATCTTCTAGGTTAACTGAAAACGGTTTCGTAGCTCGAACTGAAAGGTTTCGGGACTTTGTATTAGAGCACGAGAGGGACGGAGCGTTGACTTCATTAGACGTGACCTCTCCAACTTAACGTTTAGGTTCAGTGTGCCTCTCACCATTCTGTGATCGCTGCCGGTTTTCACCCTCGCGATCACTGAGACATCACTGAATTAATATTTTTAATAATTAGTGCGGTGTCAGCCATGCGCTTTTGAGGTTACCTCAAATTGCACTGCTTAATCTGTTTTAATCTTGCTGACCGTTGTCGTCAGTTGTCGTATGGTCGTCATAATGAAGTCAATTTCATTTTTTGTC